CATGGCTACAGATGTGCCATTAATGGGAAAGATAATTTAGTCTCAAAACCAGCCTTATCCCAAACTTAATAACGTCCAAATTTTTTTAACTGGGGATTGAACCCAGGAGTACTTAACCACTAAACTATATTCCCAGCGCCTCCCCACACTTATATAAAGATCAGAAACAAGTAATATGGGACAGACAGAAGCATGAGTACCAAAAATTATAGCACAACTGGAAAATTGTAAATGACAGCTTTGGACAGGGGAAGAAAATTCCTGGACATGATTCATATTGCCTTGTTGTAAAATGACACACTCCTAACTTCAGTTGTGAGAAACAAATGCCGAAAAGCAAGGAATTTTTAGCTGGGCTCTGTCTCTAAATAAAATACTAAATGGGCTAGGGGTGTGGCTCAGTGGTTTAGTGTCACTGGGTTCAATCCCTGGTATACACACACACACACACACACACACACACACAAATAATAATAATAATAAATAAATAAATAAATTAAAAACACACAAAAATAAACAAGGAATCTTTATAAAGAAAATTTTGCTACTTTTTACATAGAGCAGGCCTATACCTGCACCTAGCAATGAGCTCATGTGCCAACCTAGGAACACTTTAGTAAAATGTATTACATTTTAGTCACAAAAAAACGACTCCAAATGAGTTTGACCTTGAAGACACTGTAAGAAAACTGACAGAGCACTGAGATTACTTGACAACCTGTCATCACTAGTTATTTCTATGGACTGTGGCTCTATTGGGTCAAACTAAATTATTTGAAATTGGAAGAACTGCTCCAGGTGCTATTAAAAAAAAATTTAAAAACACCACCAAAATCATGTGTTTTAAAATTTCCAAGTTAAAGCAGGCATGGTGGCATGTGCGTTTTGGGAAGGCTGAGGCAGGAGGATCCCAAGTTTGAAGTCAGCCTCAGCAAAAAGCGAGGTCCTGGGCTGGGGTTGTGGCTCAGTGGTAGACCACTTGCCTAGTATGTGTAAGGCACTGGGTTCAATTCTCAGAACCACATATAAATAAGTAAATGAAATAAAGGTCCATCAACAACTAATAAAAATATATATTTTTTAAAAAGTGAGGTGCTAAGCAACTCAGCAAGACCCTATCTCTAAATAAAATATAAAAGGGCTGGGGATGTGGCTCAAGAGGTATCGTGCTTGCCTGGCATGCGTGCGGCCCGGGTTTGATCCTCAGCACCACATACAAAGATGTTGTGTCCACCGAAAACTAAAAAATAAATATTAAAATTCTCTCTTTAAAAAAAAAAAAGATTAAAAAAAATAAATAAAAGGGCTGGGGATGTGGCTCAATGGTTAAGTGCCCTGGGTTCAATTCCTGGTACCAATAAATATAAATTTTAAAAATAAATAAAAACAGCTAAGAATGTAGCACAGTAGAAACGTGCCCCTGGATTCAACTTCTAGTACAAGAACAAAAAAAATTTCCCACAATAAGCTAGACTAAAAATTGGCTAAAAACAATCTTAAATTAATTAAAAAAAAAATTTTTTTAGGAGCCACCTTGAGTCCTAAATAGGGCTGGGGTTGTAGCTCGCTGGTATAGCGCTTCCCTAGCATGTGTGAAGCAGTGAGTTCGATCCTCAGCACCACATAAAAATAAAGGTATTGTGTCCATTTGCAACTTAAAAAAAAATTTTTAAAGAGTCCTAAATAAACTTGTTTTATTTCCCCAATTCTGATGTATAGGCCACTTAATACACATATTACAATGTTTCAGAAATGTTAAGATATTTTAATGATCACTCTATTTTTTTTAACTTTAATATTTATTTTTTAGTTACTGGCGGACACAACATCTTTGTTTGTATGTGGTGTTGAGGATCGAACCCGGGCCGCATGCATGCCAGGCGAGCGCACTACCACTTGAGCCACATTCCCAGCCCCTTAATGATCACTCTAGATTCAAATGTTTCAACAAAACAGAATTTTGATAAAGAAAAGCTCAGGAGAGGCATGGTGGTACACACCCATAATCCCAGCATTTTAGGAGGCTGAGGCAGGAGGATCACAAGTTCAATGCCAGCCTCAGCAACTTAGCAAGGAACAGAGACGGTCTCTCTAAATAAAACAAATGGCTCAATGGTTGAACACAGGTTCTTTAGTCATTAGTCATACAAAAACTGAATCGTTATCTCCATTGCTTTGGGCAAGTTTTTTCTCCTATTCAGTTCTCCTATTTGCAAACCAGAGGCAACATCTTTTTTTTGGAGGAGGGCGGTTGCAGATGGTCACAATACCTTTATTTTTATGTGGTGCTGAGGACTGAACCCAGTGCCTCACACATGCTAGGTAAGCACTCTACCATTTAGCCACAACTGCAGCCCCTCATCTGACTATTTCTGTGCTATGTGCTAGATTCCTACCTGGTATACAGCTGACAGTCAATGTCAAAGTATTAGGTGTATCAATTACGAGCCTAGTAAACTCAATGAAATTTTAGAAAAGATCGGATTTAATTTCCTGATTCAGGTTAGAACTGGGGATCACTTTTCTAAAGGTGCTTGCATAGGATCCCTTTAACAACAGTTATTAATTTTCAAAACAAAAGGGGTCTTCTTCATCCCAATTTTTCAGTATGCTGGTCTACTATCCTAGAATCAGAAACAGCTAACTTAAGAACTTATAACTCTAAGGATCTTATAACAAGGTTGGCATGCCTGTGGAAGTCAAGTTAAATTGTTGACTTATTCCACAAATTTCCCCATTCAACTCAGCAGTTGCCTGTAATCCCAGCAGTTTGGGAGGCTGAGCCAGGAGGACCTCAAGTTCAAGGTGAGCCTCAGCAATTTAGGGAGGCCCTAAGCAACTGAGACCCTGTCTCAAAAACAAGAGAGGAGGGCTGGGCCTGTAAGTCAGTGGTAGAGCACTTGCCTACCACAGATGTGGCACTGGGTTAATCTTCAGCAACACACACAAAATAAATAAATACATACATAAATGCTAAATTCTTAAAAAAAAAAAATCCCAGAGGCTCAGGAGGCTAAGGTAGGAGGATCTCCAGTTCAAACCAGCCTAGGCAACTTAGCAAGGCACTACGCAACTCAGTGAAACTGTCTCAATAAAATATAAAAAGCAGTTGGGGATGTGGTTCAGCACCCCTGGGTTCAATCACAGTACCAAAAAACAAACAAACAAACAAGTTCTTTCTCATCTTCCTATAAGCAACAAAATATAACCCTAGAAATCTGCTTTCCAAGCCACACAACACAAGCAAGGGTATCACTCATTTATTAGTACACCTAATATTTTAGAAAATTTCGGGGTTAAAACTTCATTTTAAGACAAAATACCACAGGACCTGTAATTAACACAAACTAGTTGCATTCAAATTATGACTGTAGGAAGTTTTTACTTAAATGATCCTGAAAGATGACTAAATCAAGCACTTAAACTTCAAGGGAAACTCCCAAACTTTCCAGCCCACAATTCTAGGCCATGGAAGGGACTAGGCACTTTCTGCAGTCTTCCCTGGTTGCCTACCTTACAAATTTTGATAGGGATCTAAACACCTGCTGGGTAAGGTAGACCACACCTGTGGTCCCAGCTACTCAAAAGGCTTGAGTTTTGAGTTCTAAACCACCCTGGATAACAGTGAGACCCTACACAAAAATAAAACAAAAAAGCCTGTACCTACCTCCTCTTCCATGCATTATTACCTTTATTGGTTTCTTTCTCCTTAACTAAAATTGCCACTTCTTAAAAATGCTAGAGGATTCCTCAGTTTTCTGACTACATAAAGGCTACACAGCCAACTAAATTAATCCTTTCACAAAGCAAACTCACTTGACAAGCCAACCTGACAAGATATGAGTACATAAGAGACTCTTCTGTTAAAAACAAAAATTAAAATCACTAATTCTGTTTACTTGGTCCCTTTATGTCCATGAATCAGGCATTAGTTTCAGTGTGGAGACAGTCTACAAAACCTGCATGCTATGAATGGTTTAAGAACTTGCAACAGAATTTTATGAATTCCTATTTTGGCCTTCAATGTAACAGTATCTGGCCATCTTGTGTTGGAAACAGAACAAATCAAATTGAAAACCTCCCAGGCTGCTCTAAATGGGTAGTAGAGAATGATTTGTATACAAACGTCTCCAACCATTTGATGAGAAAAGCAATTCATAAAATATTTTCTAACTGCTGGCAGATGATTAAGATAAAAACTACTAGAATGTTACCCATCTTTTTAATATCCCAAAACTTGGCTACTAAGAATTGAGGCCTGGAGTATACTTATGTCAATGTGTCATTTTAGGAAAAAAAGTCAAATGTGGTTAAGAATACATGTACCAAATAAAAAATGTTTTCTAGGACACAGGAAAGCTAGAAATGCATCTTACAGATGCAAATACTTAAGCAGAAACTATTTCAAGGGTATTTACTGCAGTACCTTTCATAATAGCAAGGTTGGAAATAACTTGTCCAAAAGTAAACTTTAAAAATACAGTTCAGGTGTACAGCAATGTTAAAATGAAGAGATCTAACTGCCCAATGTAAAATGACCAATATAATGTGAACACTGATGCATAAACTACCTCTGTAAGAAACTACTTACGAGTCTTTCTGGTAAGGGATAACAGAGAAAATGAATTTTTTTTTCACCTGCCACTGACCTTTTCAGGGAGGAGTATATAGTATATGTCATCCCAACGAGAACTATTTTGACACATTCAACCTTGTTTGGTTGTACACAACCCAACCTTCCATCATAGAAAATGATTGATAATTACACCTTGTGTTAAATACTCATGTTGTACTTTAATGATCAACATACTGGGTTGCTAACTGGTTTGGAAGACAGGACATGTAATCAATTGACTTAAAAGATTATTTAGTGTTCTTCACAACCAGATTACAGGCAGTATTTCTTTTTCCAAAATATACATCTTTGGGTGACAGATAAATAATTTATGGAAGAAAAAAGGAGAAATTTTTTCACATYCAGGCAAATGTAATACTGTCAATGTGTTTGAACTAGAGATTTTATTTTAGAAGTATAAAGGATGGAGGCGCAGTATATTTGGCATTTTTAATTTAGGTTTGTTTTATTTAAGTTTAATGTTAATTCCATGCTGTGTTTCAGTAAGAACAATACAGATTCTGTATCTGTGGCTCCAGTCAGATATCCAGTAGTACAAATTAGCTTCAAGTTACACATACTGAACAAAAGAGGTTGAGCGAGCGAAGGAGGGTAGGGGAGGCAGGGGAAAAGGGAAGGAGAAGAAACAAAGAATTGAACACGCATGCAGGCTTCTCCATACCACCTTCAATGCTAACCTGCTTCAGAGGGAGAGTAAAAAGTAGGCAAGAATGAGCAGCCACGGATTGTTGAACTGTTACCAGCACCAYGCTTTTCAGCAACATTTCAGCACAATTTGAAACACTTTTTACAGCAAAACCATAACAACAAACCTCCCCCAAAACAACCTTTTAACCACCTCAAGCTAACACCCAATTAAGTTTAAACATTGGTATAAAATTCAAACAATTAGAAAAAGGAAAAAAAATGATACCACATATGCCTCTAAAGTGTGATCAATCTCTCTCTCAGATGCATCACCTAGAAGTCTAATGGCTTTCAAATATAATTTCCATTTCTAATGGTGATCTTGCCACTTCTGGCACGGAGACAATACAGTAATGCTGAAAAAGCCTCTATGCAGTCCTGTTAGTGTCTTAAAGAACCTAAAAGCTGGGACCAGTAAATCCACAGAAATTCACTCTTGCCTTTAAGAACTTTTGGAAACGGTTTAAAAAAAAAAGGAAAAAAAAAAAACAACCAAAAACAAAAAAGAAAAAAAAAATCAAAACAAAACAAAAACAAAACAAAACAAAAAATACAGGAGGGAAAAAAAAAAACCAGGGCAGGAACCTAAATTCTGAGACCAAATGTAAAAGTCAGATTTGGTGGTTCTCAGTGACAATGGGGAACTTCCAAGGGGTGGGGCAGGGAGGAGTGGGGTGGTCAGAGATGGTTTCTCTTGTTGGCTTTTATGTCTCACTGATTTTCATCTTCCACATCCTGCAGCGCTTCTTTATTCTGCTCTTCACCTGTAAAGAAGAAAGACAATATTTCATGAAGCTACAATATTCATAAAGTTGTTGTTCCAACTCAAAAGACACATATTTGATACCATCAGTATTGAACACAGACAGGCAAAGGACTTCTATCATCCTTGATACCTGAGTGATGTCTAAATTAAGAAGGGCTGCTAATCACGGTCCTGAAATGGTCAATAGTCATAAAAAAGAAACTGATGCACAAATCAATGATTTTATGTTTAAAAGAAGCTCTTAAAAGTACACAGCCAAAGTAATCATAGTCTTAAAATAATTTTCAAGCTTTTATGTATATCTTGGGTCAAAATACTCTTTCTCAATAACCTCACCCCTTTTAAACCAAGAGTATTTTGCTTTTTTTTAGAGGGGAGGGGTGCAAAATCTAATTTACCCAGAAACTCATATCAGAAATGTCTCAAAAACTGAACTGAGTAATAAAATGCTCCAAAGGAGTTCTATGGTGTTTGGTGGGGGATATTCTGTTGTTGTAAATGAACACTTAACAATTTTTCTCTTGGCCAGATACATCAATCTATCATCAGATTCCTCACATCAGAGTGAAACAGCATGCTCCAAGTAAACCAGACCATTGAGGTTATTAAAGAAGGGCATTTGGACCAGTTTTCTCATGCTATTCTCTTCTTTTTGAACATGACAATTAGCCTGAGGAGTTCAACTGCACCATGACATGCAACACAAAGCCAGTCTTATTCACTAGAGGAACATCTTCCTATTAATAAGCATTAAACAAATCAGGCATAATAAAGAAACATGCAGAGGCTTTTGCTTAACAATAATAAAAGGAACAAACAGGTAAAATTACATTCTTTTGTACTTTAAACAAATCACTTATAACTTCTACAGACTTACTAGTTTCAATCAAACTAAATTTTCAAAAAAAAAAATCAATTAACCAGAGGTCAGGAGGCAGAGCTCAGAGGCAGAACATGTGCTTTTAACACATGCAAGGCGGAGTTTGAACCCCAGTATCACATAAAAATAAATTTAAACACACACACACACACTCTAAACATCTGAGGGTGGTCAGGTTGGGAGTAGTTAGGATTGAACCCAGGACCCTGCACAAGCTAGGCAAGTATTTTATTAAATTACATCCTTTAGTCCTTTTTATTTTATTTATTTTGGGACAGGCTCTCACTAAATTGCCCCAGCTGGCTTTGAACTTTGTGATCCATACCTCAGCTTCCCAAGTAGCTGGGATGTGTGCCACCACAGAGTTAATATTTTTTAAATCAATCAATCAATAATCATAAAATGTTCAGATCACAACCTACTCATTCATAATGCTCATTATTTAATTAGAATGGACAAATTAATACTGGATGTCTATAAATATGAAGTATTTATACTGAGAACATCTCAATCTTTTTAAAGACCTCTGTGATAAGCAATAAGTGCTATTATAGTATTATGAGTTAAGTAATGGTAGTTTTCAAATCTCCTGTGAAAAAACATCTGGCTTGATAATGTGGCTCTCAAGTTACCTCAAGAACATCAAAACTTTTTGACTTGTAATACAGAAAAAAATATGCAAAGAAAGAAAAAAGAACTCAAAAGACACCCAGCTGTTCCCCCAAAGATTCATTCTACAAATTGTTCCTGTGTTCAAAATTCAGGAAACATCACGGGAGCATTCACATTCACTCTCATTTCTAACAGAAATATATTGCCAATATAAGTTAACCCTAGGACATACTCTAATTACTCATAAGCAATCATTAGATTTGCCAAAAGTTCCAAATAACTTTGGCAGAAAAGTCCTACACATATATAAATCACATCATCGTGTAAGTCACACCCAGACATAGGCAGGGGTAGCAGGCCGATGACGTCTTAGAAAGTTTAGCACCTTGAAATGTAGAACAGGCAGTTTGTAAGCAACAAGATGATAAATATGCAGGCATGATTAGTGAAGAACCCAAACTGAAAGCAAAATTCACTGTGCCATGATAATGACTTACAAAGTAGAGTTTTTAGGAAAGGAAGAGTTGGATTTTCCTTTAGGAATCTATATTGCAAGGAGAGAGGGAGGGAGACAATCATATGAAAGCAACATTACAAGAAAAATAAACCAAGAGAGCAGGACAAAGGAAAACATCAATGATACAAGGGGAGTCAGATTTTGATCTTTCACTTTGTATATACTGCCCTCTAAAAAATAATCTAATCCTTCCTTTTACTTCTAAGAAAAYAATATCCTTTTATAAAGTACACAGAAAAGTGACAGGTATTTCTGTGCCTATTCCTTCTAGATTTTGGAGGAACAGATAGCACACACATATTCTTTTGTATGAAACAGTCCTCTTAGAGAAAACGACTGAAATCACCCCGAGAGGAAAGCGCAGTGATCCCTTTAAAGAACTATGTTCCAAAACACTGGGACAGACATTAACATACACTGTAGTAACAAGACATAAAAGCATGTAAGTAAACTGCATACATTTCTTCCTTTAGAAACGCTCAATTCAAATCCTTCATGACACTACCTTGCACAGCCAGAAATAAAGGAGAAAACCACCTAAATAATACTTATAAACTAAATGCAAGTAACATTCTGGAAAATCACAAATTTCATGATAGTAATTCTATATTTAGCATGGAATCTATTAAAAATCACCTAAGAGAACATACAGTACTATATTTTTTTAAAGCAAAAGTGGTAAAAAATTTCCTAATGCCCTTAATAATTTAAACTTACTACAATATTAATGATCTTTTTTCATTATTAATATTATCATGCTCCTTAACTATAAGCATTTTTAAACAAAAAAATTTAATAACTAATGAAAATACTGTTTTTACTAAATTTGATCAACTGTTCAAATTATACTGAATAAGGGAACTGAAACAACTGAATTTCTCCAGTTTAAAAATAACTTTCACTCTCTGATTTCTGATCATCATATGAGCTCCTTCCTCTCTGCCATGATGTTCAGCCTCACTTTGAGCCCAGTCTGCTTTCTATGGATTGAGACGTCTGAAACCATAAGCCCCCAGATAAAACTCTCCCTCCTCTATAGTTGTTCTGGTTTCGTCTCAGAGGGAAAAAAGCTAACTAAAACAGAAGTTGGTACCAGCAGTGGGGATTACTGTTGACAAACCTGACCACGTGGGTTCACAACTTCTGGAACTTTTTGGAATTGGTTGGAGAAATTTTGAAATGTGTAGCRGTACAAGTTGGCCAATTCCAGTGGGAGCTCAGAAGACCAGAATGCCAACAGGACTATGGACAGTGAAAACAGGGCTCGAGGGGGTTTAGAGGAAGGGGAGAACACTAAAACTAACTTTCAGGATTAAAGAAAAACCTATGCTAAAATGTCACAAGCAATCTTTGTACAAAGAATCTTTCCTATCATGAAAATAGTTTAAAGAAAATATTCCAATTTTAAGATGGTCCACTTCATAAAACCATACTCAATAACCCAAATATGACAGTTAACGTTCTGTATAAAAATGGAATGATGACATATAGTCTACTTTTGACTAATCAACTCTTAATTATCTGCGAGAATGAGCTATAGGTGTATTAGAGAATATAAATTTAATTTATATTTAACTGGAAAATCTAGCAACTTAGATACTGTAAGGTCTGGCATCAAATGTCTTTAAAAAGGCATTTCAACCCAGGTCACCTCTGTTACTTTCAGCCTTAAAAACATGTCCCGAGATTGGAGGAGTAGAGTTTACTTAAAGGAAAGCAGCAATTGTTCCTGCTTACCAAACTCTCCACATGCTTTCCTTTTCATTTTGCTTTCCCTTTTATTCCCTCAAACAGGCACAGAAATACTAATTCACCGAGCTGCGGGCAACTGGCCATTCTTTCTAACGGTTATTGTCAAAAAATCATAGAATTTTAAAGCTAGATGGAACCTGAAGTCATTGTAGTTTAGATATGGGAAACTAGTTTTGTGTTCCAAAGAACTAATAGTGGTTTTCTGAAGTTTTGTTTGGAAAAGCACCCTTGGCTTCCTCTGAATTTGTTCTAGTCAGTTACATTTCAAATCTTATTAATTCAGACCTAGTCAAACACATGAAAACTTCATAAACACAGGAGCTTTAGAATTTAGAAGCTAAATCACCTCATTCTCATGTTAGTACCATAACCTAAGTCAGAAATTTAATTCAATCTTTGCAGAGTAAACAAACTGACTATATATATATAATACCCCAATACATAAGTATATTTCAGACATCACAGCATGTGGGTTTGGCCAACGGGACGATATAGCCATCCTCAAGCAACATAACATATACTTCAATTTGGATACTTTAGAAACTGCAGCTAAAACTGTCAACACACTTTCTGTTCTAACCCTTTACCACCATCACCAGCAACCATACAACTGTCTCATAATGGTCATATCACACTGTCCTCTCTCSAGCCCACCTTCAATAGGGGGAGAGGGTTGTAACACAGTGGTAGAGCATGAGTTTCAATTGCCAGCAAAATAAACATTATAAATTTGGATCTCCACGTTTAAAGTAAAGATTTGTACACATTCCCTCAATCGAAATTAAATTTTATAAAACACTAAGAGTGTTTTTTCTTAGTAATTGTGTGGAACTAAAAACCTTTCCAAGTAAAACTCCATCAGACCCCTTAAATATAAAATACCCAAGGACAAAACATTTCATTTCTCTACAGACTTCAGGAGGAAAATAAGTCCCTTTTTAGATGAAAGATTTCCAAACAAAGGTACATCAAAAATAGCTACCAATACCATCTAGTTTGAAATACAATTAACTTCTACCTCCCCAAACTGAATCTGAGAAGATGAAATTGTCTGTTCTCCCATCCCTCTTTCCCTCAGCCTTCAAAGAACTGTGAAAGAGGTAAACTAAGTTTAACAAAACATTTTTAATTAGAGGCAAAACTTTAAAATCTTTAAATATTAACATAAGATCCCCCTATTCTAAATATGTCTTTTATCTCTATGCTTTTCTTTGGTACCATTTCCTATGAAGGAAGTAATTGATATTTGGTAGCAGACAGGCTCTGAATTTATGTTGTATTTTAATGTTAAAAAAACAAGAAATTTAAAAAATGAGTAAAATGATCCAGCAACTCAGATATAATTTACTACAGAAAGTTTACTTACCATCACCCTGCATGTCTGAAGTCCATAGTGTCAGGTTATCACGTAACAATTGCATGATAAGTGTAGAGTCCTTATAGCTTTCTTCACTCAGTGTATCCAGTTCTGCAATTGCATCATCAAAAGCTGCTTTTGCCAACCTAAAATTAAATAAATGTATTACAAAAATTAACAGTGCAAAAATAATGAGATATCAATCTTACCCTTCCAGTTGAATAATGGTAACAATGAATTTTTTAAAAAGAATTATTTGGGGGGCTAGGGTTGTGGCCCAGCTGTAGAGCTCTCACCTAGCATGCTCGAGGTGATGGGTTTGATCCTCAGCACCACCTAAATAAAGAGGTGGAGTTCTGATACATTCTATAATGCGAATGGATGTTGAAAACATTATTTTAAAAAAGAAGAATTAATTTGGAATAAATATATTTTGAGCACTACTTTTTACTATGCTTTCTGCAAGCATCTTACCTCTGGCTACAATATACAGACCTAATTCTATATAGGCTAACAACATGTACAAATTCCAAGGGAAACCACCATCAAAATATATGCAAAATAATAAAAGCATTTTTGCAAGTTCTAGTTAATGGTTCAATTACTTAAGTTTTATAGCAACAGAAAGTCTCAAGACAATACCCAGGAACTTTGTAGTAAAACTGTACACTAGCATAAAGGGAACTTTAGGCTTAATGTTTTCCTATAAATCTCACACACACACAAATCACTTCTAAAAGTTAAATTTAATTGCTCTCTCCATTCCTTATTCTTTAAATCACTTCCATTGAAAAGAGGAAAAAAAGGATTTTTACTGCTATAATATTTATTATGAAAGCTTTTATAAAATAAATAAATAGGAAGCTGAGGGTGGAAGCGTATGCCTGTAATTCTACTAACTCCAGAGGGTGACGCAGCAGATCACAAAGTTCAAGGCCAGCCTCAGCAACTTAAGGGAACTGTTCTCAAAAAATAAAAAGGACTGAGTACCACTGGATTCAATCACCAATATCGCAAAAAACTGAGRAAGCCAGGCAGGATGACACATGCCTACAATTCCAGTGACTGGAGAGACTGGGGCAGTAAGATCACAAGTTTTAGACCAGCCTCAGTAATTTATTGAGGCCTTAAGCAATTTAATGAGACCCTGTCTCATTAGGACTGAGGAGTAAGCTCAGTGGTACAATGCCCCTGGGTTCAAGAACAAAAAAGTGGGAGAGGCTGTGGTAGAATAACTACCATGTATGAGGTTGTGTGTGTTCTCCAGCACCACCACCAATAATAAAATTTCCTATGACATATAATCAAAAAGACTTTACAATTTGTAATATAACAAACTATTCTTGGGCTGGGGATGTGGCTCAAGCGGTAGCGCGCTCGCCTGGTATGTGTGCGACCCGGGTTCGATCCTCAGCACCACATACAAATAAAGATGTGCCCGCCGAAAACTAAAAAAAAATAAATATTTAAAAAAAAAAAAAAAGAGTCTCCTCTACAAACTTCAAAAATAAAAAAAATAAAAAAAAATTCTCGGGCTGGRGATGTGGCTCAARCGGTAGCGYGCTCGCCTGGCATGCGTGCGACCCGGGTTCGATCCTCAGCACCACATACAAACAAAGATGTTGTGTCCGCCGAAAACTAAACAATAAATATTAAAATTTTTAAAAAAAATTCTCAATAAATAAATAAAACCTTAAAAAAACTATTCTTAAAATGCATGCAAAGAAGCTAACAAAAATAAGCTATAAACAATAGAACTGAGCCCAGAAGAAAACTGTCATATACATAACTGTCAGTTAACTTCATAAATTAGGGTACCAAAATCATTCAATAACAAAAAGCAACTTCAACAAAATGTTATTAAGAAAACTAGATATTCACATGCATGACAATGAACTCTTGCATTATTACAAAAATTTTTAAATTAAAAAAAAAAATGATCAAAGGGCTGGGGATGTACAAGAGTACTTGCCTGGCCCACATTAAGGCCCTGAGTTGGACCACCAGCAGCAGCACAAGTATGTATATACACACACACACACACACACACACACACACCCCAAAGACCTAGAAACTTACAATCTAAAACTATGAAATGCTGGAAGAGAAAAAAGCAAAACAGGATAAAAACATTCATGGCACTGGATCTGAACATGGCTTTTTGTTTCTTTTTTTTTTGGATGGGCAGGGGTGCGGAGAGTACTGGGAATTAAACACCAGGGCACTTAACCACAGCCCCAGAAGTTTTCATTTTGAGAAAAGGTCTTGCTAAGGTACTGAGGATTGGCTTAGAACTTTGCATTCCTCCTGGCTCAGCCTCAATAGTCACTGGGATTACAGACATGCGCCACCATACTTGGTGTATTTTTTTTTTTTAGTGCTGTGGATTGAACCCAGGGCCTTGTGCATGCAAGGCAAGCACTTTACCAACTGAGCTGTATCACCAGCCCTGGATTTTATTTTCTTACATGACAAAGCATGGGAAATTTTTCAAAAATTGATAAATTTGATTTCATCAGATTAAAAACATTTAAACGTCAAAAAGTAATATCAAGCTGGGCATAGTCGTACAAAAGTATAATTCTACCTACATAAGAGACTAAAGCAGAGAGATTCTTTTTTTAGTTGTAGATGGACACAATATCTTTATTTTATTTATTTTTATGTGGTGCTTAGGATCAAACCTAGTGCCTCACATATGCAAGGCAAGTGTTCTACCACTCAACTACAACCCCAGCCCAAAGCAGAGGGATTCTTAAGTTGAAGCCAGCATGGACACCTTAGGGAGACCCTGTCTCAACAAATAAAAAATTTTAAAAAGCCAGGGTATAGTTCAACGATAGATAGAGCACCTTAGGTTCAAAATTCATAGTACCAAAACAATAAAAGTAAAATAAAAAAACAGCAGGTATTAGTAAAAACATGGAGAAAATAGAACTCTCAAATTTTGCTGATGGGAATGAAAAATGATTCACTTTCTGTAGAAGAGGTCGGACTCCTCAAAAAGTTGAAGCAGCATTACCATGCCCATCAATTCTAATTCTAGGGAGGATTAAAAACAGGGATTCAAACAGATACTTGTTATGCTGATTATTTAAAAAGACAAAAACCAAAAAACAAAACACAACTAGTCATCAAAAGATAAACTAAATGTGTTATAAATGGAACATTCAGCCTCAAAAAGGACTTCAGGGGTACCCTTCAAACCCCTGAAGTCCTTTGTAGCTCAGTGGTAAAGCACCAGCCCAGCATGCCCAAAGCCCTGGCTTCAAAAAAAAACATAGACGACTTTAGTAGAGATATATGCTATAATGTGAATAAATCTTGAAAATATGCTTATAAAATAAGCCATACAGAAAAGAACAAATATTATGATTCCAAGTATTGGAGGTAGGTAGAACAGGCAAATTCAGAAGCAGAAAATAAAATAGATAGGTGTGTAGTATACACCTATAATCCCTGCCCCTCAGGAGGCTGAAACAGGAGGATAACCAAGTTCAAGGCAAGCCTGGGCAATTGGAACTGGGTTAGAAGAGAAACTGGAGCAGAGTGCTGATGAAAAGTCTTGAAACAGAAAGTCAGTTACACAACACTGTGGCTATACTTAATGTCACTGAACTGCACACTTAAAAATGGTTACAAATTATAAAAACTCATGTGATGTGTACTTAACCACAATTTTTGAAATCTGTGTCTATAATAACTAAAAACACTAAAATTTATATCTACAATATCAAAAACTAGGAACAACCTAAAGTAAAAACAAGAGAATAGCTTACATTAATGACACTGAAAATTGTTTTTATTAAGACAAAAAATACTAGTAATATATTCAATAAGAGAATAATAATTCTTTCCCAGAGGTGCTGGGAATCAAACTCCAGGCCTTATGTCTGCTAGACAAGTGCCCTACATCCCCAATCCCAGAAAATAACTAATTAAAAGCATGCCCATAAAGACTAAAAGGTGACATACAAAAAAATTTTATTATGGTAATTCCTCATTCCTTTCCCACACACATTATGTTAAAATCTTTTGAATCTACAATTCAGATCTACAGAACTGAAACAATCAACACAATGATTATTAACTGCTATATGTCTATCTGTTACCCCAACAGTTTCAGCAAGAACCAAAAGAATTCATGTGACTAAGACTACAAAGATGGTTCCAATGAACAAAATAAGTATCTATCTCTTCCTCCAGAACCTTTTCACTTCACATTGAGGAGCTTCTGTTCTCCTCCATGACTTACCTGCAGGCACGGTCAGGGGAATTAAGAATTTCATAGTAGAATACAGAAAAGTTGAGAGCAAGACCTAAACGAATGGGGTGCGTTGGTGGAAGTTCTGTCATTGCAATATCACTAGCAGCTTTATAAGCCACTAGGCTGTTCTCTGCAGCCTCCTTCCTGTCATTTCCTGTGGCAAACTCGGCCAGATACCTGTGGTAGTCCCCTTTCCTACAACAAAACAAAACCAAAATTAGGAATGCATTTGAAATAGAAAAACTTTAAAATTTTTATAATATATAAAATAAAATATATAGCCCAATTAAAAAAAAGCATTTAAAAACCCAGGAATGAGGAACTAGAGATCTGTCTCCTTGATCATGAAATAAATGCCTCTTTTTTTCCCCCCCATGCGGTACTGGGTTTGCACTAAGACCTTGAGCATGTGCTCTACTATTGACATCCCCAGCCCTCAAAAAAAAAACGTTTCTATATAATGGTTAAAACTGCTCCGTGGGCTGGGCGTGGTGGACCCTACATATAATCCCAGCTACTCAGGAGGCTGAAGCAGAAGGATAGCAGGTTTGGAGCCAGTCTAAGCAATTTAGTAAGACTCCTTCTTAAAATAAAGGGCTGGGGATATAGCTCAGTGCTAGAGCACTTGACTTGCATGTGAGACACGCCCCCACACACATTTGATTCCAGGAGTGTGGGGGGGTGTGGGTGGATGGATAGATAGTGAAGTGTAATCTATAGATGGGAGAAGAATCCCAAAGCAAAAGAAGGTAAATAAAGCAAAAGCCAATATATTTTTTATAATAGACTGATCATCTTAAAATCAATTCTATAATACCAGTGAAATCTGCAAATGAATACCAAGCTATTTAAGTTTTAAGAATCACTCCTCCCATATAACCTTCTAACATTAAATAATTTATTAAAACAAAAGCTGAAAACCTATGTAGAAAAAAATGTCATGATTCTAAGGCCAACTTTTAATCTTACATTTTCCCTTCTAGTATGGAACCTACATTTTATAATAGAAAACCTTGGACTCGCCAGTGTTAGCTGCTGGAATGAGGTGTTTGTCCAGTACATCCAGAATGTCACAACAGATTAACTTTAGCTCGGTCTCAACCTGGAAGGGTGGGGGGAAAAAAATCAGATTAGGTCTAGAAATTCTATAAAGTATTACACATTTGACCACCTACCTCTGACTTTAAGAAAGGAAAATCTAGGCCGGGCATGGCATATGCCTGTAATCCCAGCGCCTCAGGAGACTGAGGCAGGAGGATCACAAGTTCAAAGCCAGCCTTAGCAAAAGCAAGATGCTAAGCAACTCAGTTGAGACCCTGTCTCTACATAAAATACAAAAAAATAGGGCTGGGGATGTGGTCAATGGTTGAGTGTCCCTGAGTTCAATGCCCAGTACAAAAAAAAAAAAAAAAGAAGGAAGGAAAGTCTAGTATAAAGTAGAACACACCCCTCTCTTAAACCTCCTCCTTTCTTGACCCAAAATTACAGAAAGTCTCCAGATTATTAACTGTAACTTTTCCTCTCTGAATGCTATTCCTTAAGGGTGTACTTACACACGCCACACCTCTCAGTTCAGCAACAGAATTGCCAGTAATAATGTAACACCCGTTGCTTGCTTTTATTTTATTTATTTATTTTTTTTAATTATGTGAGCAGGTCCATGGCAGTTTTATTTATTTATTTATTTTTTTTAGAGAGAGTGAGAGGGTGGGGGGGAGAGAGAGAGAGAGAGAGAGAGAATTTTTTTTAATATTTATTTTTCAGTTCTCGGCGGACACAACATCTTTGTTGGTATGTGGTGCTGGGGATCGAACCCGGGCCGCACGCATGCCAGGCGAGCGCGCTACCGCTGAGCCACATCTCCAGCCCCCGTTGCTTGCTTTTAAATGCTGGGCATTTACATGAACTACCAACTATTACCTCCATTTACAGAGGAAAAAAAGAAGTTAAGGTTCCTTACTTATCCTAAAGTCCAACAACAAAAACTCAAGTGGGCTGCAATTTGCCTCGTCCATCAAAACCTGGATTTAATTCCCCTCATATATGAACCCAGACGGGTACAAAGAAAAAAAAAATCAACAGTTTATCTTCAATACTCACATTCCTAACTATATTCCAAGAACCAATCACTTTAGTGGAAGTGATTCACAAACAGTTATGGCACCAAAAATCTGCAGGCCAAAGTAAACACTGCCACTCATTTCTTATCAATTTATAATGCCAAAAATACACAGTACCCCCCAAATATACATGATCACCTTGTCATCAATTTCCTATTAATTCTCAGTAATACTGTTAAACCTTCCTAGTTTGATCTCCTTTGCATTAATAAAGAATTCTCCCTCTTTCTCTTCTCCTAGTCTTAACCTTAACCTAAGTAAAACTAGCTGTCTTCTGAATAAAGTACCTGCCTGATAATTTTCAAGTAGAGAATGCCCTAGGAGTATGAAGACTTCTAAGTTCTCTTAAATCCTCGCCTATTGGATATGACTGCTTTTATTACTCCAAAGCAAATCTCCAGGCCCTTTCCCACATTCATGAAATATATATAGCCTACTTCTCCAATAACTGATACTGCACCAAGGTATTATCTTCCATGTTCCATTCAGCACAGCCTTTTTTTTTTTTCCTTGCTTGTGGTAATGGGGATTGAATCCAGGGATGCTCTACCACTGAGCTACAGCCTCAGCCCTTTTTGAGATACTATCTAAGTGACTGAGGTTGGCCTTGCATTCCTCCTACTTCAACCTCTAGGAATAACTGGAATTAAAGGCATGCACCACCAAGCCCAGAATAAACAATTCATTGATCTCTATCTATGACCTTAACTTCAACTGTGTTGCTGTATCCTAAATTCTAATATTCCAACTCTTAGCCTATAACTTCTTCTTTTGCTTTTTTTTTAACTCATTATTCCTATTTAGAGAGTGGGCAAACCTCCAGTCTATTGATTTCATATTCTCAAGTTATCAGTTATTGTGCTCAATTCATGCTTCCCTTCACTCATTAGACAAAATCCCACAACTAGCTCATAGTATTTTTCTTCATCATCTTTTCTCATTTCCTCAGCCCTCTGGTTCAAACTTGTCTACTGCCAACCCATATTATTTGTTTCACCATATTTGAGGGTGGGGGTAATGCCAATCCTAACTCACTACATTCTATGTTACCTCAATATGTTATTTAACACTTAGAACCTGTTTTTGCCATCTATACATTGAGATAATATCTGCCTTTTCAGGGTTATTTATTTATTTTGGTGACACTGAACCTAGGAACCTAAAGCATACTAGGCAAATTTCTTACCACTGATACATCCCAAGCCCCACCTTTATATGCATGTATAAAACGAACATGATCTAAAATAACCTCATGAAACAATTCTTAATCCAAAACCCTCTGATAATTTCTACTGTTTAAAAAACAATAACTAGAGGCTGGGGTTGTGGCTCAGTGGTAGAGCACTCGCCTTGCAGACCCTAGGTCCTGGGTTCAATTCTCAGCACCTTAAAAAAATAAAGGTATTGTGTCCAATTACCACTAAAAAAATATATATTTTTAAAAAATGACTAGATTAAGACTCCATATGGAGAGTGACAGTATGTTTCAAATTGTGTGGCACACAAGAAACATACAAAATTGCCCCTAAATGTTGTCAATGATGTTTTAATACTTATAATAAAAGCAACAATTAAATTTGTTCTCTAGTTGTGCTCTGATCAAAACTATACACAGCCAGACCAGGGCACATGCTTTTAGTCCTGAAATACTCTGTAGCTGTAATTTCTAATTCAGGTGAATAAAAAGATGAATATTCAATGTGTGCTACAGGATGACCTAAAACATTCAATGTCTAAGGCCAAATTACTTACAGCCATAAGCCTGAGACTTAAGCCACTTAAAAAAAAAAACAAGCCTCCTTTCTCTTGGAGAATTTTTTTTTAAACAATAAACACAAACATAAAAGGCAAAAGTCAGGACACATTTAATCCCACACGCTTACCAGAGGGCCTGGGTCCTCCTGATCATGGACTGGAACCTCTAAAACTATGAGCCAAAATAACCTTTTTATAATTTAATTACCTAAAATATTTTGTTACAGTAAAAGAAGCTGACTAATTCAAGTAAGACTTTCAATAGAAGAATGCAACAAAATTCTACAAATTAACCCAACGACAACTTCTACATGTAAGAAATAACAATCATTTTCCTTGAAAAATGCAACCATCTCACCATTTGCCGATATTCCCGAATCATTTTTAGTTTGTCTTCTCCTCCCTTGTTTTCTTCTTTCTGTTCAATGCTGCTGATTATTCTCCAAGAAGCTCTTCTAGCTCCAATCACATTTTTATATGCAACAGATAGGAGGTTTCTTTCTTCAACTGTCAGCTCCACATCCATCCCTGCTACTTTCTTCATTGATTCCACCATTTCTAAATGGGAGAAAAAAAAAAAATCAGTCCATACAAACTTAAAAATCTTTGTTAACATCCCTTTCACAGTGTCTACTCCCTTCGCCAAGTTAACAGAAAGCAAGAGCTAAAATATTTAACAAAAATAGGGGCTATGTGTATAGATCAACAGAAGAGCACATGGACCCTGTGGATCAACAGCACCTCCTTGATGTTAACAAAAAAGAAATTTTAACAAAAATAACCTCATAATCATAAAAACTAATGGGACAGCAGGACCAGGAAAAAGCCACCTATAATCTTATCTACTGAGATTGACTGAAGTCAATCTCAGTCAAGCTCAAAGTAAGCCTTGGCAACTTAGCAAGATCCTGTCTCCATAAATAAATAAATATATAAATAATAATGATGATGATAAAATAATAATATACTGGGGATGTAGCTTAGTGGCAGAGCACACCTGGGTTCAATTCTTAGTGCTGTGGAAATAATAAAAAATTAGAAGAGGGCTGGGGATGTGGCTCAAGCAGTAGCGCGCTCGCCTGGCATGTGCAGGGCACTGGGTTTGATCCTCAGCACCACATAAAAATAAAGATGTTGGGTCCACCAAAAACTAAAAAATAAAGAATATTAAAAAAATTCTCTCTCTAAAAAAAAAAAAAATAGAAGAGCCAACAAGAGAATATAGAGCGTAAGTTATATGGAATCAGGAAAACTTCATGCAATGTCTTGTATGATTTATATTACGATTTGGAGGCATCTCAGATTAAATAAGAATACACACCTATCCATTCTCCAGTCAAAGTAATCAGGCTGGCAGTTTGAGAAAAAGATTAAAAATTTACAGGCTCTAGCCAAGCATAGTGGCACACATCTGAAATCCCAACAACAGAAGGATCACCAAAGTTCGAGGTCCCAAGCAAATTAGCAAGACTCTGTCTCAAAAATAAACGGGGTAGGGTTGTGGCTCAGAGGTAGAACACTTGCCTAGCATGCGTGAGGCATTGGGTTTGATCCTCAGCACCATATAAATATAAGATAAAGGTATTGTGTCCACCTTTAAATAAAAAAATAAATATTAAAAAAATATATAAAATAAATAAAGAGATCTGGGGATGTAGCTTGTGTAAAGTACCTCTGAGTTCAATTCCCAGTACCCCATTAAAAAAAAAAAAAGTTTACATGTTCTAAAACATGTTGCCTTACAAGTAACTACAAATTGAACTGTATTTCAAAAAAACCTACCAAAATCTCAAGAGGAAGGGAGGATTCATTCAAACAACAAAAGTATACTGAGCACATGAGTCACAAGTACAAACCTGTGATTGGGGTGGGGGTAGGGGATTTAAGTCAGGAGTACTTTACCACTGAACTATAATCCAATTCTTTTTTTCTTCCTTTTCTTTTAAGACATGGGTCTCACTAAGTCACTTAGAGCCTCACTAAATTGCTGAGGCTGGCCTCAAATTTGCAATCCTCCTTCCTCAGCCTCCTGAGTCACTGGGATTACAGTCATGTGTCATGGTACCCTGCAAACTTTTGATGTTTCTAACCCTCATTTTAGAAAAGCATGATCTACCTAAGAATTCATTCACTGGTAATGGTTACTATCTGTTACCACTAGGTGGCAAGCAAAGAAAAGGGCCCAAATAATCTTTGGAATATCCCAATACATAAAAAATACTACGAGAAAACAAAGGACCAAAAACAGCTCAATAATACCAAACAAATGTATTAACAACAAAAATGATGCTTTTAGAAAAGACTTAATGCCATCATTATCAAGTGGCTCTCCATGTTTACAGATTCAGAATTTTTGGTGATGAGACATAAAAATCTGTTTTTTTTTTAAAACAAGTATATATTAATTCCTTAAGCATAAGCATACCTTAACAAATAGGTAAAATGACAGCACCTTCACTGTTTAACAGTATGGTAAAAATAAGGAAGTCTTCCAAATGTGCAACCCCAGGAAAATGCCTCAAAAATTATCCCTTCAGCCGGGCACAGTGGTGTATAAATTGTACTCCCAGTTGCTGGGGAGACTTGAGATAGGAGGATTTTTTAGTTCAAAGCAGACTCTGAAACTCAGCAACTCAGTGACACTGTCTCTAAATAAAATTTAAAAAGGACTGGGAATGTGGCTCAGTAGTTAAGTGATCCTGGTTGAATCCCTGGTACACCCCCCAAAAAATCATTCCTTCAGAATACCAGAAAATAGAAGTATTAAGATGCAATAAAGCTCTTTAGAATACAGTTCAGCAGTTGTTTTTTTTTTAATAACCATTATGTGACCAAGCAATCACAGTTCTAGATATTATCCAAAAGAAATGAAAACATTATCTTCATAAAGACTTTTGCATTATGTTAATAGCAACCTGATTCTCCTAACAACAAAAATGTGAAAATAACTCAATGTGCATCAAGAAGTGAAATGAATAAACTGTGGTACACACCTATATTACAGATTATTTAAAACTGAAAGATAATTAAAGTAAATATCAAAAACACTTTTAAGTGAAAAAAGACATTGTATGATTCCATTTGTATCAAATTACTTAGTTAATTTATATTTGGTACTGGTAATTTAATCCAGGAGTGCTTCACCACTGAGCTACAACCCCAGTCCTTTTAAATTTTTGAGACAGGGCCTCACTAAGCTGCTGAAGTTAGAACTTACAATCCTGCCTCAGCCACCCAAATTGTTGGGATTACAGGTGTGTGCCCAGCACAAAGACTAAATTTGGAGGCAATGGAGTTCAGTTCAGTTCCATTCTAGCTTATTTTCAAAAACCAACAAATTAAACATACCTGAGAAAACCAGTAATTCAATTTTCCAAATTGGTACAAAGTATTAATAAAATAAAGTAACCCAGATATACCAGAAAGTATCATTATTTATTCTTTTTCATTGCAAGGTTATGCATTATGTATGAAAAAAAAAACTAAACACAACTATCTAATGTTATAAAGTTTTACCAGTGATTTCTGGATACTATTCCAAATGATTAATCTAAATCTATTTTTCATTTTGCTGTGCATTACAAAATTTCAACATTTTCTGGGGGGGTGGTGTTAAGGACAGAACTCAGGGCCTTGTACAAACTGAGCAAGCCATAAAGCACTAAGCTATAGCCCTATACCCAACAATGAACATTTAGTATTTTATAATACAAGGGGAAATGTATTTAAAACAGTGATAAATCTACTATTCTAAATTCAACTATATAATTACCTTCATTAGTGACAAAACAATGCAAAGAGTACTATGTGGTAAAACTACAGAAGCAGTAATTATCCCTTCATTAAATAACAGCTTTACTGAGATAAAACTTACATACTATAACCATTTACACATTTAGAGCACACAATTCAATGGTTTTTAGTATATTCATGTAATTCTACAACCATTACCTCACTTCTAAAAGAAAAACCCCAGAACATCATTTACCCCCAAATCCAACTACTGGGGTGAGGAGAAAAATCAATCTATTTAGTTTCTATAAATCTGTATAACCTAGAACTGTGCATGTGGTACTTGGTGACTGGATTCTCTCACATTGCATATTTTCAAGGTTCATCCACACTGTATTAATACTTTACTTACCYATGTAAATATACCACATTTTATTTATCCATTCACCAGATAATGGGACATATTTCCACTTTGCTATTATGGATAATGCTGCAATGAACACTCATGTAAAACTTTTTGTGTGGATATATGACTTCAGTTGTCTTGAGTACATAACTAAGAGTATAATTAACTCTTTGTGGAAAAATACACCAAATTGTTTTCTACAGGGGCTGTGCAATGTAGGAGGATTCTAAACTCCACATCCTCATCTACACTTGTACCCCACCCCCTTTTTTAAATGATCATATTGTGTTTGAAATGGTATCTCACTGGAATGTTGGGGGGAGGGGATTTGAACCAGGGCCTCAACCATTCTAGGTTGAGACCTCTACTACTGAGCTGCACCCCAATTGTTGTTTTGATTTGCACTTCCTTGATGGCAATAACGTGTTAAGCATTTTCATGTGCTTATTAGCCATTTGTGAACCTTCTTTTGGACAATGATAATTTTAGACATTTTGACTATTAGTTAATCTGTGTTACAGTTGCAGTGGCACACACACACACCTATAACCCCAGTGAGAAGCTGAGGCAGCCTCAGCAAATTTATTCATTTGTTTTTTGGTTTTGGTACTGGAGACTAAGAGGAGCACTTTACCACTGAGTTACATCCCCAACCCTTGTTTTATTTTTTATAAATAGTCTCAATAAATCGCCAAGACTTCACCTTGAACTTGGCATTTTCCTGCCTCAGCCTCTTGAGGCGGGATCACAGTATTGTACCATCATACCCACCAAGTGTTTAGATCCTAACAAACTTTTCTTAGCCCTCCCATGTTTGGGAATTTAACCATTACTTTAGGTAGTGTACTAACAGCATTAGCATGAATAAGCAGCTTCTTAATACCCCCTAAATTCCTACAACACAGTACTGGGGCACTCTCAAGATTAGAGTGTCATTCTTATCCTTTTAACACCAGCAAAAGAAATAATATGAACCACAATATACCCCAAAATCTTATAGGAAAGCTCTGATTTATTCCAAACTCTAGAACCATGTCATTAAAGCCTGCATTAGAGCAGGGCACAGTGACTAAGGAAGCCGAGGCAGAAGGATCACWAGTTTGAGGACAGCATCAGCAACTTTTAGCAACTTGTAAGAGACCTCAGTGGTAAAGCTGACATAGGGTGAATGAGAGAAAGAAAGAAAGAAAACCTGAGTTAGAGTCAGGCAATAGCACACACCTGTAATCTCAGTTGTGAGGGAGGCTAAGACAGAGAATCACAAATTGGAGGCCAGCCTCAGCAACTTATTATAATTATTATTTTATAAAAAAGGGCTGAAGATGTAGCTCAGAGGTAAAACATCCCTGGATTCAATCCCCAACACCATAAGACAAACAAACAACAAAAAAACCTTCATTAGTACAAAATTAACACCACC